GCATTTTGGTCCCGGCAATATTGTTATACGAGTAAAAATTTGCTGAAAACTTTTTGTGCAAAATTAACCAAATTGTAGAACTGGGTAAAGTTGATGATATCTAATTATTTTCAATTAAAAAAGAAACGAATTAGGAAAGTTAGCTAAAGATTCTAGTTGAACGACTAAAATGAAAAATAAAAGAAATTTCAAATGGCAAAAATATTTGAATTGATCATATATATCTCAAGATGAGTCTACTAATGCAACAATATGCAAATATTGTTCTCTTCTGGTTAATTAGTTAATTAATTACCAAATTGATGAAACTTTTAGCCCAAGAACAAATATTGTTGTTGCTAATGACTAGTACTGGAGAGAATTACCATATATAACTTTTGCATTTGGTTGGTAAGTGCTGGTTCCCGAATCGAATTCGGGTGCGGAAGCGTGGTGGGGAAAAACAGCGAAAACTTTTCATAAAACTTTTGACATACTTTATAGATTATATTAATTTACGCACGAATAAATTAATCACATTAATTTACATCATTCAAGGATCAACCGAAAAATACCTGGAAGCCGACTCGGATGATAACTTGAATTTCTTTGACCACGAACAGTCCTTGCTCCGAGCTTTGTGTTTAGAATACCAAAGTCTTCCACGTCAATTCCTTGATTCCACGTAGACGTATGTGTGAGCACACGTGAGACAAAATAGGTTTCTGAAACACTCGAATTTCCACAAACACCAACGCATGCACGATGTGGAATTTTTAGAGAAAAATTTTGCTCTCTATTTTTCACTCTATGAGAAATTCGGCCACACTTCTTTTAGGGCTGAAAATATGTTTTAAAAATTGTCTCTCCAATTTTCTATCTTTCTCATATTTAAAGAGAAGAAGTCAAACTTCAAAATAGAATCAAATCCTTATCTCTAATTTTGAATTTGGAACAAAAAATCCCTTCCCCTTATCCACTTGGTGGCCGGCCACACTCTAGGATTTTATCCCTGTGTATGGCGCCTATCTCAGATAGGGAATGAAGAGATTTTATCCTTTATCCAGTAGTCCAATTCAGATTCAAATTCGAATTTAAGTCAAACTTAAATTAATTTGAATTCTAAATTAAACAACCTATCAAATAAGTTTAAATGGATAAATCTAGATATGTTCAAATTCAAATTTAAATAATCACATTATTTAAATAATAA